GCATTGTTTCTAGGCAGAGATCCTGAACACACTATGGATTACCCAGAGGGTCATAATCCCCCCTACCAGCCCCCCACCATTACCACCAAAAGGGTTAGAAATGCTTAAATGCCTGCCTTACTTCCCACCTGTCTTGGTCACAGGTTTTGTGAACTACTCATGTCTGGGGCCCCAGGTCCTATGACTGGGTGTCATCTGCATGTACTTTCATGTCTGGTTGGGAAAGCCGATTTCAGTGCTAATTACTGAGCTGCTGGCAGCATTGAGCTTATGGCTCCAGACACCGAGGCCACTGGCACCTTGGCAACATCAGAGCCTTTGCCTCAGCTCAGTCATAGCATTGGCAGTGCCCAGATACTCCAACCCAGGCCTTTCAAGGCCTGGACTGAGAAGTAGGGTCCACAGCAGAGGGCAGTCAGAGTAGAAACCAGCAGGTGCCTTCAAGAGAAGGGGCAAAAAGCCATGCCATCCCCATCCTCGCTAGTTGCTATTCAGCTGACCTTCTGACCCAGTCAGCAGAGCCTGGCCAGCCCAATGGCCATCAGAAACCCACGCAGGGCCAAGTAAGAGTCTACACTTTTTCACCCAGACCCCACTGGCAACTGAAGCCCTGCAGCTCAAGCTTCAGAGAAAAGGAAGCAGCTAATATCCTCCAGAGTTTCTTTCTCCCTTCTCTCATCCTTTTCTCAATGTACAGTGGGCTCTGGGGCTGGGCTGCTCCATGGCAAGAAGGGGCAGAGTACAGAAGATGACACTTAGATCCTGTGTGACTGTCTTTGTCTGTAGTGCAAGATAAATAAAATTCTCCACCCAACCTAGACAGGATAGACCCCTGTTTTACAGGGTTACAAGTGGAGGCTCAAGAGGGTCCTTATGGATTTTTCAAATCAGAAACACAATGCTTATGATCTGACACCATGTGGGAAATATCCAGGCCCCAGGTCCCCAGGCACATGTCTGCTAAGAATGTCCAAAAATCCTTCCCAACTTATTTGGTGGAGAAGAAGGAGCAGTGAGTTTCCAGGCACTGGGGAGCCCCCATCTCTCTTGAGATGGGGAGAAGAATTCTCAGTCACCTAAGATCAGACTTTAACAGGTATGGTCCCATTCCCTCCACCTAGCCAGGAAAAGGACAGGAAGCACACCTTCAATGTTTTAGACTAGTCAACAGGCCACATCCTTCATACTCTAAGCCTGGGAAAGTGACACAGGTGGCAGAGGAACAGTGAACCTGCTCAGACCACTCCTTCCAGGGGCTTCTCTCCACAGAGAAGAGAACTGGCCACACCCAGAGCCTGTGCTGCCTTCTGGAGTCTAGGCTGCTACACTCGTATGCACCTCAGCACAGACAGCCATGGCCCTGTGAGATTAGATAAATCCCAGCCCAGACAGAATCTCAGCTCCAGTTTGCAGGATTCTGCAACAAGGCAAATCTGGCCACTAAGCTAGAGTCATTTGGGTAGAGGGAGTCTGAAGTGAAAAGTACCCCCAGAAGAGCTGCCTGGAGACAAGTCTATATATAGTGCATTTTCTTGGTGAATGATTCATGTGGGAGTGCATGGGTGGGCAGGTGGTCCTGGACACCATGGAAAAAAAAAAAAAAGCAGGCCAGGCAAACCATGAGGAACAAATGGGTAAGCAGCACTCCTCCATGGCTTCTGCATCAATTAACTGCCTCCAAGTTCCTGCCCTGATTTCTCTGGATGATGGACTACAAGCTGTTACGATGAAATAAAACCTTTTCCCCTGAGTTGCTTTTGGTCATGGTGTTCATGGCAGCAGTAGAAACTTATCTAAGACAATAGGGCTCCAAGTCAACTTGACACTACCCAAGCTACTGAGCTTCGCTTAGGCAAGAATAAGCTTCACACCCCAGGTCTCACTCATAGGCACATGGCCATCCAGAAAGATGTGGAGAGCAAGTCTACTAATCTTTATGAAAGACTCCTCTCCAGGTTTCCCACATCACGCCAAGGATATAGGGAGGGATCCAGACTCACTACAAGGTAGATGGCATTTACTTTCACAATGAGTGGGTTCATTCTGGGCTAAGGCCAAGTCATTTCTCAATACAGTCTTAACTGGGTGAAGGAAACTTGTAGAGAGACAATACATGAACTCTAAGCACCTATCAATGGAAACCAGACCTCTGCTCTTAACTCTGACTTTTGGTGTTGCCTCAGGGCCTTTCCCAGGGCACGGAAGCCAGGGAACACTGCGCTCCCCAGAGGTGCCCTCCGGAAGGAACAGGGCATTCACTGACTACACTGAAACTCCTTAGAATGCAATTCTCCCAGAGCCAACACCCAGGACTTTAAAGACCATGCAGCCCTTCTGGGCCTCCACTACGGCTGCCTGAGGTTCTCTTGCCTCACCAAGCCCAGCTCCCTTTCTAGATTTCTGCTTGTTTTAAGCAGGCATAGATGAGACTCTCCTGCAGACGCCTCGAGAACCCTCATTCCAACTAGAAGGCAGCAGCGCACTCACACCTGTGGTTCACAGAAACAGAACTGTGTCTGCAGTATTCTCAAGTGGAGACCAAGTGAGCAGAAAGAGGATGACTGACAGATCTCACCTTGACACTCCAGAACACAGGCCCAGGCTGTGTCCATTCTAGAACTCACCAGAGGGTTCTACCCATAGCAGCCAGAAAGGATTGTAAGAAAGCTACTTAAGATAATTAAAAACAAAAACCCTGTGTCATAGGGCCGGGGAGATGGATCAATGGTTAAGAGCATTGGGTACTCTTCCAGAGAACTGGGGTTCAATCCCCAGCACCCACACAGTGGCTCACAACTGTCTCTGTAACTCCAGTCCCAATGGCTCTGACTCTCTTTTAGCCTCCACAGACACACAAGCAGACAAGACACTCATACACATATTTTTTTCTTAATTAAAATAAAAAACACCAAAACCCCTGTATCACAAAAGAAGTCCGTGAGAGTGACTTGCTACAGGCTCCATGGAAGGCACTATCTACTGGAACTGTCCATTCTCAAGACTTGGAAACTCCAAATGCTGAATAAGCTTGTTGGAGCCCTAAATGAAGCTTTCCTGAAGAGCTGAAACATGCTCGGTCCCTTAGGGCTTTAAAAGAGTGTCCATTATGATTCAGTTGGGACCTTACCATTAGCTACACAGTGGGGGTGACAGCAATGTGGATCTCATGTTTGACTCTCACATGTTTATATAAGTTGAATATTCATACAGTTATGCATTCATGGAGACAGAGTTACTCTGTGTAGCCCCTGGCTGTCCTGGAACTCTGTAGATCAGGTTGGCCTCAAACTCTGAGATTCAAGCCTCTGTGCTGGGATTAAAGACAGGTGACGCCACTGACTGACTTTTTTTTAAAAATTTTTTTCAAGACAGGGTTTCTCTGTGTAGCTTTGTAGACCAGGCTGGCCTTGAACTCACAGGGATCTGCCTCCAGAGTGCTGGGACTAAACATGAGCCACCACCGCCCAGCACTGCTATTATTATTACTATCATCATCATCATCATCATCATTACTATAAAGAAGACATTTAGGCCAGTGAGATAGATGCCTCAGAGGATAAAAGGGCTTGATGACAAACAAGATCTGAGTTCCATCCCAGCGACTCACGTGGTGGAAGGAGAGAACGAACTCCAATAAATTATCCTCTGACCTCCACCATCGTGCAAAATAAATAAAACATCGAGAAAAAAAAATCTTTAAAAGAAAGGACATTTGTAAACCCTTCACCTCACTGCTCCCGTGGGGCAAGCATTGTTTCTTACATTTCCCTAGCACCTTCAGAAGAAGCAGAAACTAGCTTTCTAGGTCCATTCTGACCAGAGTAGTGAGGTTCTTTAAAGATACCCATGCCAGCTTGGCATGGTGGCACACACACTTCCTCCCTGCACTTGAGAGGCAGAGAGAGGCAAGGTGTAGGTCAGCCAGGGCTACATAGTGAGAGCCTGTCTTAAAAACAAACAAACTCCTAAAAATACCCATTCCCTCCCTATCTTGCCTAAAAAGCGAAGTAATTCCCTCAGTGATGAAAACTGGGTAATTAAAATTCTGACTAGACAAGTGCAGCAGTCACTGTTCCAAGGCTAAGCTGTTCCTTGCCAGCCCAGTGCTTTTGCAGACCAACCATGACTTTGACCATTTTTTACACACAAACCAAGCAAACAGCATGGACCTTACTGTGTGGGCCTCTGACCAGCATACAGAGCAGGGTGATGGTCTCAGAAGAAGGATGAGATGAGGGCTATGTAACTGATAACAAGAGACAAGTCTCATGGCCAAAGTCCCAACAAGCACTGCCACTCATCTCCAAACTGTCTTTAGAAAGCAGAAATCGACACTTCTTGATCTGTGAGTCTTGTAAGTCCTACAATCAACAACTGTTACCTGGCACATCTTGGGACCCCCAAGCCCACCCACACTGTCTGCAGCCAAGCGCTGGTTCTTTACTGATGGACAGCCTTCCTAGGATTTTGCTGCTCAGTACTAATGAGCAAGCAGCCTTTACTACCACACACTATTACTAATGTTTTCTTATGCGTAAGCCTTGCACTCCTGACAGGCAGTCTGAAGAACGTAAGTTTGTGTGTGTGTGTGTGTGTGTTTTAACTGCAATTTCCCTCTTAGCAACCAGTCAGCAAATGAAGCTGAAACAGGAAACTGGCACACCAGCTACTCCACGTGGTGCTTTGCAAGAGGCAGGGAGTTATTGCGGACAAGCTAGACAGCTTGTATTTCAATGAATCAGGTCGAGAAGCTGGATGCCCACCGCCGAGTCGGAACCGGCACCCACTGACCCCGAAAGTCTAGACACTGAGAATGAGTTAAAGAAACACACGTGGGTTCTGGAACCTGTGACTTTAGCCTGAAACTGCCGACGTGGTCCAGGCAGGGATGGAGAGATGGAAGATGTTCGGGCGGGCACGCGAGATGTAGAAAACGTGCTGCCGAACTGTAGGGACCTCGATTCTCGCCCACCCCGCTCCAGGTTCGGGCCCCTACTTACGCACGCAGAGGCAGGCCACGAGCTTGGCTGCCTCCTCCGGCACTGGACAGGTGGGGAAGATCGGCTTAAGCAGGTACGTGGCGAAGACCAGCGCCACGATGTACTGTGAGGAGGGCCGAATGATGAGCAATTCGATCCAGAGCTTGAGGAAGGCGGGCAGCGAGCCGTATACCTCCAGCATGTAGGCGTAGTCTCCGCCCGACTTGGAGATGGTGGTGCCCAGCTCGGCGTAGCAGAGTGCGCCCACGATGGAGAAGACACCGCACACGGCCCACACCACAAGCGCCAACCCGGGCGAACCCGCCTCCTTGAGCACACCCGTGGGTGTAACGAAGATGCCCGAGCCGATGATGGTGCCCACGATGATGGCTACACCGTTGAGCAGTGTGATGTTGCGCTGCAGGGTCACGCCTTCGACCCCAGAGTCCGCACCGTCCGCGCGCCGCGCCTCCAACATCTTCTCCCGCGCTTGCCTCTCCTCCTCCGCCGCAGCCGGGGCCGCCACCGCGCGCCGCTTGGCGCCCGGGCCGGCCATGCTTTCGGCGCTCCCGGCTCGGCCTGGATACCCGGCGTGCGCGCGGCCGAGCCTCACTAAGCGTCTAGAGAAGCGCGTCTACGCTCGCGCCACCCTAGCGGCCTTTTATCCCTGCCGTTACCCGCTCACCAGGCCCCGCCCCTCACCGACACCGTTGGTCGGCCCGTATAGGCCCCACCCATCTCCTTCCGCGTGGCCCCGCCTCCCCGCGGGCCCCGCCCTCAGGCCTGTTAGATCGCGTGGAGTTCCGACTACGAGCTACTGCGTGAGACCCAAGTATCCCACGCGGGTGAGGAGCACACCTCCTCACAAGGTCCTCAGTGCAGGATGCCGGGGTCCTCCTCTCCTGCCCCAAGTGGAAGTTAGTGATGCAGAGAACTCGCCTAGGGTCAAATCACCGGAAAGGTGGTTCAGGGTGCACGCCCACCACCTGCAGGGAATCCAGGCCTTGCCTCGCTGGGACCTTCCTGTGCATCTCGGAGGTGGGGGAGGCATCTGGGAGAAGTGGCGTGCAGGGGGTTGGGGATTCTCATGTGGTCCAGTCTGGAGGAACAAGTCAGGGGGTGAAGTGGCCCATCAGCTCTGGAAGCAGAAAAGAACAGGCCAGGACGGGAGCATCCGGTTCCTGGACTCAGATATTCTTCTGATCCCAAGGAGAGAGTCTTGTCAGAAGCCTGCCTCGTGGCACACCCAACCTGGAGAAGCAAGCCTTGGAAGAAGGGAACCTGCATACTCAGTGAAGTTAAGATGGGGGCCCCCTAGTAGGAGAAACCCCCAAATCTTTGTAGGGGTTTTAAAGGTGGGCTGTAGGGTGACAGGGCTGTAGCTTGTCATTCTTAGGAAATCGTAGGTAAGAGATCTTTTGAGGCAATGTGATCAGAAGTCTAAGGTGCTCATCACCCCAGACCTGGTTGCAGGGCATGGTGATTTGAGCTGACAGGTGTGCTGGGAAAGTTCTAATCACTAGTCAAGGTCAGACTGGAAAGCCTCATGACCACCTTTTCACCTACTGTCTCCTTCTCTGTCCTGAGGGGCCCTCAGGGAAGCTCACAAACAAGCAGGAGCCAGAGTGAGGGCCTTAATTCAAGGAGAAGCTTCAGACCTGTGAAGATTCAGGGCCAGGTGTGCTTGCAAAATGGTTCAGTCTGTAGGTGCCCCTGGCTTCCCCACTCCTGAGGCATGACCAACGAAGATGTTCAAACTTCTCTCCATCTCTGCATCTGTCACTGCAGCCAGGAATGTCAAAGCTGTCCTTGGAAGCCCATGTCCCGGAGGTGTTTAGTCAAGGACTCTACAGTACGTCTCTGGACCCCCCTACCCCACCCATTCCAGGTGACAGTCGTTCACATCAATGACAAACTGGAATCTCTATAGCCAAGGTGCTAATGCTAATAGGTCACACTAACATTAACATGCCATACTACAGACCGCCCAAGTTGGTGGCTTTGGGAAGGTTGAGAAATCTTCTCATTCTTTTGTTTTGTTTTTGTTTTTTTCCAAGACAGGTTTTCTCTGTGTAACAGCCCTGGCTGTCTTGGAACTCCCCCTGTAAACCAAGCTACTAGCCTCAAACGCACAGAGATCTACCTGCCCCTGCCTCCTGAGTGCCCCTCTCATTCCTTACATGGTCCTTCAGAAAGCCAAAGCATACCACCAACTCACTGAGACATTGCTTAGATCCCAAGGTGCTGCTCCTAATTTAATAAGACATGTGACGCCTCTTAGAGCTGCTTTATAAATGATGAAATCAGCTTTGCCGTTGTGTTAACGTGCCTGCCCAGGAAGGGCACCCTTGTGACCTTCAGCCTCAGGGCCAGCAACTTGTCCACTTCTCACCTGTGGGCGGCTAACCCTTTCCCGTTCGCAGCAGCTAGGTTATGCCAGGGGGAGCTTTGATTTGAGCCAGAGGTAGCAATAGTTCATGTAAGTATAGAATCACAATCATAATTAAGCCAAGGGCACTCACTACAAGATGCCGAGGAGGGTGGTCATGGGGAGAAACAGGCGGGTTCAAATGGCTCTTCTCGGTCTGGAATTCAGAGAAAGAACTAACAGTAACAAGGAAGGCAGAGGGGAGCCTTGTGTTCAGCAAAGTGCCCTGAGGCAGTGGGGATGGCTGGAACCTGGGGATTGGGGTCCTGGGAAGTTGCTATGGTCCTTTCCTGGAAGGATAACCAGGTCCAGTGAATGCCCCTAGGATGCAAGGCAGTGTCTAAGGTAGGGTCTTAGACTTCTTCCTGCTAGGCAACTTTGGTATTAATTCTTTCTCTCCCCACCCTGTAACTCCTTTTCTAACAGTTAAGACTTTGAAATCTTTTCCAGGAGTGCCATCTACTGGTAGGTTTAGGAATAGTTTCTTTTCTTTTCTTTTCTTTTTTTCTTTTTTTGATTTCTCAAGACGGGGTTTCTCTGTGGCTTTGGAGGCTGTCCTGGAACTCACTCTGTAGACCAGGCTGGTCTCAAACTCATAGAGATCCGCCTGCCTCTGCCTTCCGAGTGCTTGGATTACAGTCGTGCGCCGCCACCGCTTGGCAGGAATAGTTTTCATTTTAAACACCAAATTTCCTCACTTGGAGCACACAGTGCACATACTAGGGGCTAGCTCATCACCTGGTCAGTAATTGATTTGAAATGGTGTCGAGTATTCTCACAGGGCTGACAGTGTGTTGTGGAGCCCTGGCTTCCCATCTCCATCTTGAAATCAGAGCAGGTGTGAGTATCTGCACTGGTGAGACCTCCGCCCCTCAAGACCTCCTAACGGTCCTTCATAGAAGAAAGTGGTGGAGTTTCTGCACTCCTTCCTGCCTGTGCTGCCCAGCTGCATTCTCCTGCCCTAGTCATATGAGGTAGAAGGTTGACTGAGGGAGGCAAGGGTGAGACTTGGTTTTGATACTGTTATCTTGTCACCTATGTTTCTGTAAGGAGCCCCAGTAAATTCATTCATTCACCAACCCAGACTTGTACGGAACCAGGTCCATCAGTGCCCTATCTGATATGAATAGAAGTTTGTTCATATCTACCCATGAAAAGCCACATAACAGAGACACTGTAACCTAGACATTCCTACAGATGGAAATGTATGTGGGTCAGAGATGTAGGAGTCAGTTCCCTCTCTACTACATCAGTTCCAAGGGCTGAACTTAGGTCGTTGGACTTGACTGCAAGCACTTTTACCTGCTGAGCCATTTTTATTAATCCCTCCTTGTTTCATTTATCAAGTTTTTAAAGATTTATTTTAAGTGGATGGGTGTTTTGCCTGCATGTGTATCTGTGCAACATGTGCGTGCCTGGTGCCCTCAGAAGACAGAAGAGGGCATTGGGTCCCCTGTAACTGGAGTTACAGATGGTTGTGAACTACCACATGGGTGCTGAGAACTGAATCTGAGTCCTCTGCAAGAGCAAAACGTGCCCTTAACCATTGTGTCTGTCTCCTTCTAAACCTTCATGCTTTAAAAGTGGGTTTCTCATAGGTTTGGAGACTGGGCTAGGCTCCCTAGCCAGTGAGCCCCTGGACTACCTGGCTCTGCCTCCCCAGCACCGGGATTAGAAGCCTGTGATTCTTTCCCTTCCTTTCCTTTCCTTTCCTTTCCTTTCCTTTCCTTTCCTTTCCTTTCCTTTCCTTTCCTTTCCTTTCCCTTCCCTTCCCTTTCCTTTCCTTTCCTCTCTCTCCCCCTCCCTCCTTCCCTCCCTCCCTCCTCCCTCCCTTTCTCTCTCTCTCTCTCCCTCCCTTTCTCTCTCTGTCTCTCCCTCCCTCCTTCCCTTCTCCCTCCTCCCTTCCTTTCTCTCTCTCTCTCTCTCTCTCTCTCTCTCTCTCTCTCTCTCTCTCTCTCTCTCTCTCTCTCTCTCTCCCTCCCTCCCTCCCTCTCTCTTCTTTTTTCACATGGGTTCTGAGATATTAAACTAGGTCTTTATGCCTGTGCACTTTACCAACTGAGCCATCATCACCCCAGCCCCCCTCTCCCTCCCTCCCATCCTCCCTCTCTCCTTCCTCCAGATTCTTGATGGCAAAAGCTGGTGTGGAGGGGGGGTTGCCAGAGCAATGCTAACCACACAGTTGAAGTGAATGTGCGCCCTGAGCAGCCATGGCCTCTGTGAGCAGCAGCCTCTACGTGTCCTTCCAGGAGGCCTTTCATTTGCCTCTGTGAAGTTGGAGTGAACACTAGTATATATGAACAGAGACAGCACACCATTCCAGCAAGCCCTGTCTCCAGCCATGGAGATGGTATTCAGGAGTGTCTGGAACCTAGTGTGACTCACTCAAGGCTCTGGGCTCTGTGAGTCTGTTTTCGTTTTGCCTCACTAGTCATTTTTGAAATCCCAACTTGCAGGTGGCCAGACCTGCAAGAAAACCGCAAAGCAGGTGCGTAGGATAAGTCCTTTTCCAAATGAACCACAACACCCTTCAGCACTCAGCCTCGCTTCTTAACTACTCTTGCAGAGAACGGGCCCCTGTGCTGTGAAGCCAGTGGAGGAACATACTGGGATCACTTGGGCTTTAGTAAAGAAGAAATTTGATCCCCTCACCCAAGGGTGCTGGGCAGAAAACACCTATAAACCAACCCAACGTACTGGAAACTGAGGCAGGGGGATCATGTGTTCCAGGCCAGCCTGGGCTACATAAGTTCTGTCTCAAAACAACAAAATGCGGTGAGACAGCCTGCCCCTGCTCTTGGGCAGCTCCTCAGGCCCCTCGGGCTTCTGTTTTGATCCCTCTCTCAAGCCTGTCTTGTTCCTCTGCCCAAGCTCTGCTTTCATTCCTCAGAGCCCCAGCCCTGCATGCCCCTCTCCCCACCCTGCTTCTCCTCTGCCTTTCTCATACTGAGCACCTCTGGTGTGGAGCACCTGTGCTTACCCCATCTCTGGGTTCAAGGCCCCCAGCAGCATACACCTTTCACTTGGGGCCAGAGGCCTGCTGTTTTTAAGACAGGGTCTCTCTTACTATGCAGCCCTGGCCTGGTACTTGCTATGTAGACCAGGCTGGCCTCAAGCTTCCCGCCTCTGCCTCTCAAGTGCTGGTGGGGTTACAGGCCTGCACCATCCCATGGTCTTTTGTTTCTGGATACATCCTAATTGACCTGTGCTCTAAC